TCAAGTGCTATAAAGAGAACATGGCAGAGAAGTCTCCTGCTGAGGTGGCTTATGGCAGATCTCTAGGTGGGAAAGTAAGGTCAGGGAGTAGGAACAGGAGTCAGAGCCAGCCAGGTTGAGGACATGAACACATGTATTGGCTGTGGAACAGAGGTGTTGATTCTGCCAAAAATCACTCAGCTCTGGCCTTTTCCTGACCTTCTCCTGTGTAAGCAGTGTCTAAAAGAGATTAGTGCATTATGAAAGAAAGTATTACTTATGAATCCACCAGATCCAACTAAAATGGAGGTTGTGAAAGAACTGAAGAAGAGGGGCTAGCAATTATGGAGGGTAGGGTAGAAGCAATGATCAAAACAGTAGCAGGCATAGGAAAATTTGGGGTTTGTTGACACACTTAAGCATTTATTCCATTTGCTTTGCAATACATATGTAAATGTTAGTATGTCAACAAGAGACCTTAAGGTTCTCTATCCTAAAAAATAATTTCCCATAGCAACTGAGCATGGTTTCGAAACTATTGCTGACAGCTTGGTGCATGCAGCAAGTTTAGTCCCTTCAGTGACCCTCTCTGTGGCTTCTGGATGCTGACCTATATGCTGTGCCCTCACATGGGCATTGCTCTTTGCACATGGCTACCCTGTATTTCCCTCCATGTCCTTATATTCTTCTATTTACAAGAACAGGAGTCACACTGGATTGGAGATGACATGACTGCTTCATTTTAAATTAATCATGACTTTACAGGTTCCACTTCCAAATACAGTCATATTTTAATGATTTTGGGGTTAGGAGTTCAATGCAGGATCAGAAAAGATAAAGACAAAATATCACCTATGACAGTTCCCTGCAAGTGCTCATTTAATTATATCCGTTTCATCCCATTGGTCAAAAATCTAGGCGTGAATTGAACATTTAAGTTCCCTCAGGAGTGTCCTTTAAAATTCAGTTTGTTTGATTTTCAAAATATCACCTATGACCATTTGAACAATCTATACACCATGCCTCTACAGGGTTTATATCTCTTTTGGAGGACTTTATTGGAGCCTCTAGCCGAGTTTGGTAACATTCTTGTCCTCAACTCCATGTTTTATTAATTCTTAAGGTTTCTAGAATGAGCTATTCAAAATAGAATGAAGTTGGCATCACCACATCACTGAAAAGCTCATAAAGTGCTCACTACACTTGTCATTAGATATAAATTGCATTTTCTCCTCTCCCGAAAGCCTCATGTTCCTTATTCTCTCTCTCTCTCTCCCTCTCTCTCCCTCCTTCCCTCCCTCTCTCTCTCCCTCCTTCCCTCTCTTTTTCTTACTTTCTTGATCTCTTCCCCTCTCTATGTGTTCCTCCCCTCCAGCCATTTTTATTTGCCTTTTCAATTTATTCTCCTTTTTATGTTTTAAATCAGTCTCATTATGTATTCCAGACTTGCATAGAACTCAAGTTCCTTCTTCCTTTGCTTAGTGCTTGGAATAATACCATGTGTCACTCTGTTCAGCTCCGTTCTTTTCCTCAAAGAGTGATACATTCTATAAACAGAACAGAAAGCTTATTTTTACCAGCTTTGTCAAGCATTAATTAGCTTGAAACAAATAACTGAGGTTTAGTGGGAAAAATGAACATATCCAAATTAAGTGGATTGCCTCTGAACATCTCCAGATCATGACAGGTCAGCTGAATTAGAGATACTATTGTGAGTTTTAAATACATCAAGAATTTGGGTGATATAATTTGGCAATTATATAAATGGTCTGAAGTATACATTTCCTTTCCTTGATTTGCCTAGAGATTCTGGCTACATTATTATGATGCAGGTACCTAGGTTTTACTATGATTTTGATGTTCCCTATCTATATGTTCCCAAACTATTTTAGAATGTTTATGTTTTTGTAACCTGTCCTCTACAAGGTTATTTATAATACAGAGTGTTCATTAAGCATTAATGACCAATATTTTATCCTCCAAACCAACCTGCTAGTTTTATGTAGTTAGTTTTGTGATCTCACTTTAGAGATAGGTTGATTGAATTCCAGTTTATGTTGTTATTAAGGTAATCATTGGTCTAGGAGGCATTCGTCATGCTCCATTTAAGGCTAGCATAAAAATAAGTTGGTGTTAAAGACTGTTATTGTGCCTCATTGATTTACTATTATTTATTTGCTTCATGTTAAGAGAAGAGAATACGTTGCTTGTATTATAAACTACCTAATATACAGTATTTCTGAATTTTGGC